ATTGCTCACGAGTTACATTGGGCGGAATTACTATTTAAGTATGTTGAACTTTTAATTAAAAATAATAATTACAATTTTTTCTTCATCAAGTAAGCGAGGAAATTAAGAGGAAGCTTATGTTGACCTTGTGTTAACTATATATTAAATTTAATTGACATATTTACGGTTGCGAAATATAGACTAAAATTACCGCTATTTTATATTAAATGTTTTTCTACAATTAAATTTTTAATTTCTATTTATCCAAATATTCAAAAGTATTTGCTTAAGTCAGCACAGACAGAAGCTGAAACCGTCACTTCTTTTTATCTTATCTGACACTATCGACATTCAAAGTTGGCGGGCGCCTCTATCTGAAGTTATCATTGAGCACGAAAGCATAATGCCGAACGAGTGTGTTTTTTCCAATTCATAAAAAACGAGGTTCCCAGAGTCTGCGCCAATTACCGTGGGATTAGTCTCCTAAATATTATATCACAGGTAAGGTTCCATCGAGCTTATTGTGTGAAAGACTTAAGCCATAAGCAAGCTGATTGGAACTTATCAGTGTGGCATTCTTCTTCTTCTTTTTTACTAGCGTAAGCAGTACTTATGTGATCAATAATCAATAATAGCGCGCCATTCATCCCTTCATTTCGCTAATTCGTGCCAATTGGAAATACCAAGTACAGTCAGTTGCTTTTCTACCTGCTCTTTCCCAAGGAGTGGAGGTCTTTCTCTTCCTCTGCTTCTACTGGCGAGTGCAGAGTTTGAAAGCGGAAGTATTTTTATGCATTGGGACCACATGACCAAGCCAATGTAGCCGCTGTTTCTTGATGAGCTGAACTACACGTATGTCAATGTCGCCGTATATCTCGCACAGCTCATCATTCCATCGTCTGCGGTATTTGCTGTTCGCAACTCGTAGAGTGTGATAAATCTCAAAAGCTTGTCTCACGAAGACTCTCAAGGCCGACTCATCGGATGTAGCTACCGTGCACGCTTCTGCACCATATAGTACGGCGGGAATGATGAGCGACTTGTAGTTTGATCTTCGTAAGAGGACTTTGCTTTTCAATTGCATACTCAGTTCAAAGTAGCATTTGTTGGCAAAACTGATTCTGCGTCGGATTTCTCTTCAACAGTGTGGATTAAAGGTGGACATTTTGTGATCTGGCGAATACCCAGTGAGCGCTGGGAGCAAAATTTGTCGAATAACGCGGATGTGGATTCACCATTGTTTGGATAGACTTATGGTTGAAATACTTTTTTGGTGGACTCTTTGGTGTTTTCAAGTTTTTAGTAAAAAGCCAGTATTTTCAATTATTTTTCTTTGTTATTTTATTAACTATTGGCTTCAGCATTGATGAAAAAAAACTAAATGCAATAAAAATAGAAGAAACCAAAAGCCTTATTGATTTAAACACTAAACGCAGAGAAGTTCCAGGGCAGGTTGGTGTTAAAAATAAGAAGGCATCAAGCCCTTAATGCAAAAAAAAATAAGCCTGGACGAAAGCCAATTTTGAACGCCACACTGAAAAGACTCATGGTTAGGCAGATAAAATTTGGGGTGTATGAAAATGCAGGCCAATTCAGGTGTGATCTTTTCCATGGTGATGGAATAAATGTAACAAAGGAAGCTATCAAGAAGACATTGCAGAAAAATAGATTGTGCGGACGTGTCAAAGTAAAAAAAAATACCCTTGACAATGGTCATATATTTTGACGAAACAGAAATAAACCGCCCGGGGAAAGGATATAGATTTGAAGAAAACCTCGTGAACCTTTGAACAACTTTGAAGTTTATAGTGGATAATGTTATGAAAGGCGGATGTATGGGACTGGCGGGTGTTGGAGAGTGTGTACGGATTACCTGGCGAATGGATGCCAATTAATATGTTAATATCCTTCAACAAGGCTTGTGCAGGAGGCTGGAAGTGTGGGGCAAGCAAGATAATGACTTCTTGCTGGAGAAAAAAAAAGTTCCATCGAAAACAGATTTCTACGCCACAACATGAGTGCCTACAAAAGTATATATATATTCATATATCAAGAAGACTCGAGTAGAGTTGTGTAACGTGATTTTGATAGAATTTGCGTACAAATTAATTAATTTAACAAAAAAAAACTACTAAATTGTTCATATATTAGTGCACATGTATGTAGGCATATACGTAAATGTAGCCAAAATGTATGCCTATTGAATAAATTTGTATAACTTTCAGTGTTATTTTGCTGCTTAAAATCAATTCCAAAACCAAAACGGCAAGGCGATATGGTTCTCTTTATTAAACAAAAAAAAAACAAAAAAAAAATTAGTTTGCCACTGAAAAATTATTTAGGCATTGTATGTATGTTAATTGTGCGTATTCGCTATATTTACATACGTAAATCTGTTTATGTACTTATGTACATATGTACGAGTATGCTTTGAAATTTGATTGCAAATTCTCAAAATATGTCATGTCGATATTTATGACTTAGCAACAATTCCTTAGCACCAGCCTGAACGCCTAAAATTAATTATGAAGAAAAAAGCGTTACCATTTAGCACGAGTCCGATCACGAGCGACTCGTATAAGTAGTTGTAGTTTTTTGTTGTAATTGTAGTTGTCACCTTAAACATGTATTTGAAAAGTTCGTATGAGCAAACGCGTGTATAATATATACATATATGTACATACATATGTACATACATATGGTAATTAAATTAGTTAGCGACCTATGTGTACGTACATATGTACATACGTATGCATGTATATGCAGTAGGCCTATACCAATTTCGATTTCAATTACCATACAAATTTGAAATTTCGTCGCTGATTTCTATTCCTGTAGTGGCGGCGGCAACAACTAATTCGTATGCGTGCCAATGTTTCGATCAACCTGTTCATCGCCTCTATCAAGTGTCAAGGTATTGTCTTTTTCTTTATTTTCTTCTACTTTTCTTCTTTTTTTTTGACTATTTACAAAACGCGAAAATAAATATACACATTTTTTTATTCGTATAAACTTACATATGTATCTTGATATGTATGTATGTATGTATGTAATTCCTGCTCTTTTGTCGTTTTCGTTGCTCATTAGATTGTCTTGTTTTTTTTTTCTTTGCCTACTTCTTTGTGGCGTCATTACCCTACGTACATACATACATATGTCAAACACACACTTATTATATAAGAGTATATACATACATATATATGTACTTATATGATTTTGATAAGAGTGCGTAAATTTGCACGATTCGTTCACACCACTACACACTTCTCTACCACCTGTTCCGCCACTTATTCAATACTTCATTGTACCTGTCTTGATTTTAAAAAATAAAGGTTTACCAAAGAATCGTTGCTGTAAAATGGTAGCGTCGACATGTCGTTGTGGCGTTAAAACGTGGAGCCATAAGACGAAAAAAAAAAACAAAAGAAATAGCAACAAAATTGAAATGAATATGCATACATATATACGTAAATATAAATCAAAGCTGCGTTGCTTCCAAACGCCGAAGCTCACAATGGTTGTCTCCACACGCCCCCCGCCCGTGAAAAGCTCGCATGAGCAAGTCGCCACACCGTGCTCAGCGTGTCTCGGTATTTGGCTTCTAAAGGGATTGCCGTGTTGCAACAACCGCCTCTATTCGCCCGAGATGTGCCTGACTTTTTTTTGTTCCCTAGAACAAAATCGGTGGACAAAGGAACCCATTTTGAGTCGATTGAGGGCATTCAGGCGGCCGTGACGAGGACGCGAACATCCCAGTCGAAGCGTTTCAGAAATGTTACGAAGCATGGAAAACGCGTTGGAATCGCTGCATAGCTGCCCAAGGGGACTACTTTGAAGGGGATGGCAGAGTTGTAGAATTATTTTGAGATATACGGTTTTTATGGAATCGGTCTCATTACTTAATTGTCACACTTCGTAAATGACAGTTTCTGGTCTTAATTTATACATATATCGTAAATTCTTATCAATTATTTATTTATTATTTACTAATAAAGTAAATTGTAATATTTTTTGTTCAGATTTCTTGAAAGTGTACATATCAGTAAACTTATATACATGTATATATATTTTTTTTACATTTATTTATAATTAATAACATACGAGTATATATATTTAAAACATATGCAAATAAAAAAAATTAAATAAATTTTTTTTTGCTCTTGCGGTTACTAAATATTTAGATAAAATGAATAATTTTCACATGAAATTATTTTTAATCTACGCTTAAGTGTTTATATATATGTATGTAGTATACGATACTTCGTAGAAATGTTTGTATGTGAGTTAGGCTCAAAAGAAATATAGCTTTGCTATACCCTTTTGTGCAACTCAAACTTCCTCCTTCGATTCACCAACAACATCAAACAACGCTACACATCCGTTCAAAGGGCAATTAAAAGAAAAATGGAAAATAATAATAAAAAAAAACAGTAATATGCTAACGAAACGTACATACGTACGTACATATATACATATGTACATATAAGTATGCAAAAATAAAAAGAAGAAAGCCATTCGAACCTTTTAATGAGAATGAAGGGCCCCAATAATTTTGCCTAGCAACAGTAATAAAAAATTTAAATACAAACTGAACTTTGGCAATGGTCACTGTCTTTTGCAAGCCAACAATCTTCCAGCGCAGTGTTCATACATATGTATATGTACATATCATGGACATGAGTTCCTGTGTACTTGTACATGATAATTCCGCAATACGCAACGGTTTATTAATTAATCGTCCATTTTTGACTATAAATGTCTTTTGCTTATACATACAAACATACATATGCATATCAGTAGACCTTTTCATTTGATAGCTTAAGGGAATACCATGTAAAGGGTTATGCATTTTACGGCCTCCAATAATAAACGTAAATATAATGCATAGCTTAAGGAAATCCCATATAAAGGATTATGCATTTTGCGGTTTCCAATAATAAACATAAATAAAATGCGTTTAAATTTTTTTCATGAAATTCTTTTTTTATTATAAAAGATTAAATTATATGAAAAAGAAACACTATATCATGCAAGATCGATCCGTTTGCGTTAAGTTTAGATCATTTTTTGGCACATAATGCACGGTGTCTCGATGCTATACGAGTGTTCAAGAGAGGTTTATCCGCATAAATAGAGTCTTTTGTGTAGTCCCACAAAATAAGTTAAAAGGTGTCAAATCGCAAAATCTCGGTGGCCAATTGACACCACAGAGGAGAGAGATTACGCGACCGGAAAATTCCTCGCGCTATAAAGCGATATCCGCCTGTGTTGTATGGCCTGTGGCACCATCTTACAGAAACCATTTACTTTCAAAGTCGTGTTCTTCTATTGTAGAACAAAAACAAGTCGGTTTTCATACGACCAGAGCGCTCCGAATTGACATTGTCAGCTTCGCAATCGTTTTCAAAGGAGTACAGACCAATCACAACTACAGGCCATTGAGCTCATCTGAGAGCTCATCTGGTACAACGATCTCTCTTCAATAATTTGAGGACTCTCGGAGACAATTTCGCTTATTTTCGGGAGAATGTTCTTTGATAAATCTCCGTCCACCAGATATCTCGCAGTAGAAATCCAACAAGCATCAATTAACTAGTTTTTAACTAGTATGAAAGTAATGCTTAATCTGAAATCTTGCTTGGACGACACCGCCTTTTTCAGTCGCTTACTTTGGCAAACTTAAAATAAGAAATACAAATTAGTAGCACTTCAGTTAACAATTACTCTCTTTTCCTTCAGGGTGCTTTAACCGTCGACTATTAATCAATGTACATACTCGTACATACAAATGTACGAATGTGAAATTGTTCCTATTTATTAGCGCACAGGCTTAAGTATATTTCAAAAATATGTAGATATTTAATGGTGAAATAAATAATACATATGCAATGCAGACTTTTTTAATCATATATGGGTGTACATAGGTACATACATTTACACACTCACGTGTTTATTATTTGCATTTCTCATGTCGAAGACCTGTCTTATTGTTATTATTATTTGCGCAGGGGATCCAGTTAAAGTAAGCTTGATTAATAAATTTATTGCAACACGGTCAAATGCCAATGACCGCAATGGAAATGTTCTGCATTATGTACACGCCGCTAGGCAGTATAAAAAAAGGAATATTATTTGAAGATGTATATAACGTATAAGGGAAATTTTTCCTGCAATTTAAAAGAATATTTAAAAGTATAAATACATAAAAAAAACCTGATGAAAACAATAAACAAATAACATAAAAATACCGAAAAACTCATCTCTAACTCCAGGAATAACGTCAATTGTTTATAATTTCATTCTATTTTAAATAATATCATTTAATTTATTTAAGTTCAATCCATTCCATTTTACTTTATTTCATTTTATTTCCCAGTATTATCTATTATTTTTTTAACTTTTTTTATTTCTTTTATTTTATTTTGTTTTACTTCTTTTATTTTATTTTTTATTTTATTTCATATAATTTTATTTATTTTTTATTTTATTTTTTTTATTTTATTTTTTTTTTATTTTATTTTGTTTTACTTCTTTAATTTTATTTCATATTATTTTATTTTTTTTTCTTCATTTCATTTCATTTTATTTCATTTCATTTCATTTCATTTCGTTTTATTTCATTTTATTTTATTATTGTTTTATATTATTTTATTTTATTTTATTTTATTTTATTTTATTTTATTTTATTTTATTTTATTTTATTTTATTTTATTTTATTTTATTTTATTTTGTTTTATATTTTAATAATTTTTTTTATTTTTTAGTTTATTTTATTTTATCTACTTATTTATTTTTTTTATTTAGTTATTTATTTATTTACTTTAATTTATTTTATTTTATAGTTTACTTCATTTTATAGTTTACCTTATTTTATATTTTATTCTATTTCATATTTTATTCTATTTTATTTTATTTTATTTTATTTTATTTTATTTTATATTTTATTTTATTTTATTTTATTTTATTTTATTTTATTTTATATTTTTTTATTTTACTTTATTTTAATCTATTTGATTTTAAGCGTCTGCCAATTCCCATATCCTTTTTGGCCTAAATTTCGTTGGCCGATCAACTGCTTAGCAACGGCCGAGCTAACGAAAACTCAATCTATAAACAACAGCCCACGCTCTAACTAAACTGTTATTTAAAAATGAATTGTTATTTAAAATATGAATTGAGACAAAATGTTTCCTTTTGATTGAATTCTTAATTGACATAAATGATGTTTGAGAGCTTATGTACGTGCTAATTAAAGTGGAAATATTGATAAAAATATTGTAAACCAATTTAAATAAAAAGGGTGTGTTTTTTATTAAAACCGTTGAGCCCGCTTGACAGCCGGCACCTCATATTTCCCCAAGCCCTTAGAGACTTGAATAATTGGTTTTCTTTATTGTGATTTTTATATTACTTTTTTCTTTTATTTTTTTTATTTTATACTACGTTATATTTATTTATTTTACATACCGTTTTATATTATATTTTTTATTTCATTAATGTCAATTTAATTTAATTTTATTTAAACCAGTCCAATATTAATTAACCGAACACTTACGCGCATTTCGAGCTTTTCTTAGCTTCTGCAGTATACGATACGCGGTTATCTAGTGCTCCAGTTTTAAGTAAATATGGAAGGTTTGGTTTTAGTAATAAATATTAAAAAAATGCGCTTTCAAATTGTAAATTATCAAAAATATTTTATGATAACAATTTTCAGAAAACTGAGCAACTATCAAAACAACGGTACAAATAAGTTCTTTTTCTTAAAGAAACTAAAAAAAATTCTTAATTTCATATTTCAAAGAGCGATCTTTGTACGATCGAAGCTGTTTTTGGCTATCTACATACACGTACGTGTATGTACACACATTCATATTTTCGTGACCCTTACTTATTGTTAGAAATAGTTTAAGTACGTACAAACGAGTTTGTTGATTATTATATATATATATATGTATGTACATTACATTAAAACTAGGCGATAAAATAGTCTTATCTGATCATAAAAGTTTATATGCTTTTTCATTTAAGTTAAGAGAGCAAATATATAGTGTAAGATCCTTAGCTGATGAGATATGTTTACTGTCATATTTCACTAGTTATCGGCACTGTCTAAACATACTAAAGTACGCTGTGCTATATAATATAGTTAGTGATATGTTATAGCTTGAAAAAAAAACCAAGGCGGAGCAAATTGAATTTTTCATAAGGAAATTATTTATTTTACTTGGATTTTTTATTTTATGAATTTATTTATTTTTCATTTCTTACAGTATATATTATAGTAATCGCCAGGTGAACAGTTTAGTCAGCTAAATTTGGATTTGAATCATAGTTTTTTCATTGTAATTAAAAAATACTCTATTTGTTAGGTTAGGGTGTTCTATTTTGTGGAGCAGAAAATACGGTTACTTGGTGTTTACGTATTATTTAATTATTTATTCTTCTACATTGATTTCGTCGCCTTCAAAATAGTCCCCTGCCGATGCAATGCACCTATGCCAACGCTTTTTCCCATTATCGAAGCCTGTCAAATAGTCACGTTCTAATTCTGGTTTAATTTTCTCAATCGACTCATAATGGTGTCCTGGAAGTGGTCTCTAGAGTTGATGAAAGAGTCAGAAGTCACATGGTGCTAAGTCCGGCGAATACGGTGGGGGAACGATATTCGTAGAATTTTTAGCGAAATAATCACGAAGAATGAGTGCTGTATGCGACGGTGCATTATCGTGATGCAAAAACCGAGAAATGTTGGCCCATAATTCTGGTCTATTTTAACAAACGACGCATAATGCTTAAATAATATTCCTTATTTACCGTTTGGCCGGGCGAAAGGAATTTATAGTGCACCACGCCACACCACGAAAATCGAAGAAAATTATTTTTTTAGTCTTGCCTCACCTTCAGCACGATATTCACTTATTGGTCGGAGGTTTCAGGGTCGTAGGCATAGACCCAAGTCTCATCTTCTGTAGTCATGCTTTTCAGCTTGCCCTGGTAGTCAGAAAGCATGGTTTCACACACATCAACGCGACAAATTTTTTCCATGAAGTTGAGTATTTTTGGAACCAAACAAGATTTGATTTTGCGTAGGCCCAAATAGTTTTTCAAAATCGTTTTACAGATCCTTCTGATATACAAACCATATCAGTAAGGTCTCTAACAGTCAACTGATGATTTTTGAGCACTAATTCCTTAACTTCATTGACGTATTGCACATTAGTTGACGTTGATGGTCGTTCCGAGCGCTCTAAGTCATCAACACGTTTCCGATTCCCTTTGAAGTCTTTCTATCACTTATAAACGTTATTCTGCGACATAATTGATAGTTCCTAAAGGCTTGCTGTAGCATTCGTTCCGCAAACAAAATTCGATCGCACTTCTTTGCTTATTTATCGGCCAAAGTGTTTTATAGCAGCATTTTTATGAACCAACTAGAACTAGTTGGCACTCAAAGCCAATACCATGAGTATTACCGATAAAAAAAAGTAGTTTGAATTCTTCATAACAATCAATATTGAATTTTATTCAATCTTATCTTTAATATTATTTATTAACGGACAGCTGTCAATATAAATTCAACATATCTGAAGTCAAAGAAAACCTTTCACTGCTTGTCTATGCTTGTAGACTGCTCTCTGCGATCTATCGCATAGAGTCAACTTTAATTTATTGATAATTTATACTTTTCTTGGAATTAGTATATACTAAATATATATAATACATATATATATATGATAAACTCTTTATTTATATCGAATAATAAATACATTGTCTTTGGCATGGCTACTAAGATATGTATATGTATATGTATATATGTTATATATTGTATATGCACACAAAGCGCCAATTAGGCTTTGTAACCACTGAAGCGATTTTAGGTTTTTTCATGTTTTTCCAACCATTGAAGGGATCTTTCAGCGCCCCATTCAAACGGCCGATGGAGATTTCTGAGAACCTTTTAATTTCATGTGAGAAATACATTTGGAAAACGACTTGACATTCCCTGTGGAGGGGCGATCGCAATTAGAAAAATTAACTTAATTTTTTATTTGACCTAATTTTCTATAATTTCGGTCCAAGATTCGATCCCTGGCCTACCGAGTAGCAGTACGCAGTGCTAATTGACCTGCTTCCGCGGTCGTACTATCGAATACCATCTCTAAAAATCAGTCCCCTCTGTTCACGATCAAATTATCGAGCCATTCTTTGATTTCTTGCCCCCTCAAACCGCTTTTCATCCGTCAAAAAAAAAACCAGTAGTCCGAAAGAGCAGAGGTCTGTAGAATACGGTTGATAGGTTAAGAACTTCTATTTAAGTGTTCCTAAGTAGTTTTTGGCAATTACAGCCACGTGAGGTCGAGCTTGTCTACCGTCATTTCTGTTTTTCACGCAATACATGACAAAGTCATCCTCCAACACGACAATGCTCGGCCTCACGTCGCAAAAGTGGTCAAAAAGTACCTGGAAACGCTGAAATGGGAAGTCTTGCCCCACCCGCCGTATTCCCCAGATGTCGCCCCTCCTGACTTCCACCTATTCCGTTCGATGGCACACGGCCTGGTAGATCAACATTTTCAATCCTTCCAAGAATTGGAAAAATGGATTGCTTCATGGATAGCGTCGAAAGAGGACTCCTTTTTTCGAGCCGGGATCCGAAAATTGCCGGAAAGATGGGAAAAAGTTGTCGCTAGCGAAGGACAAAACTTTGAATAATATATCTGTAAGCACTTTTTCGCAATAAAGCTTTTAATTTCGGAAAAAAAAACGGCGGAAGCTAAGTTGTACACCTTATATATATTTTTTTTATTATACCTTTTTATACTATTTTTTTCAAGTCAAAAAAAAAACCATGGAAATCATCTGACGGTAAGCTTTTGATATTTAGGGATCTTAATTAATTTAATTTACTGATAATAATTTTTATAATCAAAAATTGGTATAAACTTTGTTAATGACAATGAATGCTTTAGAAAAGAAGAGTGATGACACCAACCAAAGAATGATGGCAACACCCTAACTAAATACACTAGTAATAAATTGTAGTATTTTTTATAAAATTTTTATAAAATTGAAAAAGATAATTTTGATAATCGTGTCATTA